CTAATTTTCATTTTTGGGTGAACTAACCCTTTAATTATGTTAAGATCTTTCTGCAAATGGTTAATTCAGAGTTTTAGACCAGAAACCCCTAATAGCAGAGACTTTGCTTAGATTTGCACTTAAGTTCATGTAAATTATTTTTCACAGCCTGTGCTTGGGAGATCAGCTACACCAAAACAAGCCAGTAACTGAAGCTAAGATCTGTAGCTTGTTCAAATAACAGTTGTATTTGCACTAATTTGCTTAAATTTCCAGAACAGAAATCTGAACTTTGCATAAATCAGCAATGTCTTTTTTGTTGACATAGAGTTTTTTACATTAGGGATTTTGGATCTTTTTTCACTCCATAAATCATAAAATACAGTGAGGGAAAAAAGAAAAAAAAAAGTTAATATGAATATTATTTTTAGGAATAAAGTCTAAAATCCGATGAATCTTATATGAACACACTCCTCTGATTTAAAAAAAAAAAAAAACTTTCTGAATATAAAACTGAAAAGACTTAAAGACTGAGGGTGGAAAAAAAACTATTGAAATTGAAATCTACAAATTGGAATTTTCTTTCCAGTTATGGAAAAAGAATAGCCCAACGCAATGCACCACAGACGTGTGCAGTATAAATAAGAGGTTATCCAAGCATTAATGGCAAGGAAAGCCCCTTAAACTTGAGTGACCTTGTATGAGGTGTTTCTTGGAGGTTATAGTACATTAAAGAATGATCATGTGACTTTTACATACACCAGGAGACCTGTAAATGAGAAAAACTGTTTCCATTGCAGTTTTGCGATATATATATTCCTTTTTCGAATTGCCTGAAAAACCACCTCATGCGAGCATACTTTTTTTTTTTTTTTGGCAATATATGGAAGTTTTTGTGAAATTTATGTTTCCATTGGCCGTTTTTTCAATTCATAATTTCAATTTGCGCAATTTGAAGGGTAATGGAAACGCAGCTGCGAAAGAAATTTTTCAACTACATCATCTTTTGTGTTCTGTAGAAGAAAGTCATACTAGTTGTGAAATGACATGAGATTGAGAAAATGACAGCGTGTTCATTTTTGGGTGCCTTTAAAGAGCTGGGAGAATGTAGAAAACAGTCAAAGAATACTAAATCATGTTTGGGGGCCAATAAAACCTTAACTAATATTATTATTGTACCTCAGGGAAAAACAAAGTATAATGTGACCCAAATCGCTTCAAAGCACTTGTATTCACTGGTATTCAGATGCTCAATATGCAATTCTGTGTACTACCCATCACAGTTTTTCTGTCACCTCAGCCAGCTGTGAAAGTTTCCGATCACAAGCAAGTTTAAAGGTTGTATTGATTGCATGTGGTCAGAGATGACACATCTGAAAGCTATTTATAGAAACTGTGGCATACACACTTTAAGTACTTTAACACAACATTGACCACAGTAGAAAGGATCAGTCGATAAGAGATTTGTGTCGTCTTTCCATCTGATGTGCAAAATCATTCAACTAGATCAGCTCAACGTATATGTTTGTCATTTTCACTTTCCGTACAGATTAGCTGATTTTCTTCTTATCTGAAATTGGCACATGGTGAACTTTGGTAACCTGCTAGGTTGACAGCCTACTATTACTATAATTAACTCGGTCCATTTGTCATGCGAATTAGCACCGGAACATCTTCAGTGACATCACTTTAACAAACACCGTATTCAAATAAAAATAGCAAACTTTTTATGCATTTGGGCCATTCATTTAAACAGTGAATTTTATCAGTGGCGCACGAGATGTGATGTAAGTGTCATTTGCATTTTAATGTTTTTATTAGCCTATCAGTTGAACACACTAGATGCTGTGCTGCTGCATTGTTCATTCAAAATATTGCAGAAAAAGAGAACATCAATGCGAAGAAGATCTTGTTTACATCAAAACTGAAACCAAGCCGTTCTCACAGAATGCATATTTAGCGCATTTTCCAGAGGGACATCTATCACCATTGCACTTGCCATGCAAAATTAATGCAAGTTCAACTTTTCAAAAAACATGTCTCGAGACTGGCGGTTTTAAATAAAAAAAGTACTCTGTTATTGGCTTTGGCCCTTTGTATTAAACTATGCATACATATGTGATGTTTTTATTTGTAATTGTTTTAGCAATATTTTGTTTATAAACATTAATTATGCACTCTTTTCACACACAGTCATGTTATTTTATTGCTTTAATAAATGTGCATTAGTAATATTTTACTCAATGCGCCCTCTTGTGGCCTCAGGAGAAAAGCCAAAAGCTTTTTCCCCCTAAACTGAAATTAAAGGGATAGTTCACCCAAAAATGAAAATTTGATGTTTATCTGCTTACCCCCAGGGCATCCAAGATGTAGGTGACTTTGTTTCTTCAGTAGAACACATATGATGATTTTTAAGTCCAGCCGTTGCAGTCTATCAGTCGTATAATGCATGGCAATGGTAACAAAATCTATGAGAGTAAAAAAAAAACATGCACAGACAAATCCAAATTAAACCCTGCGGCTCGTGACGACACATTGATGTCCTAAGACACGAAACGATCAGTTTGTGCCAGAAACCGAACAGTATTTATATAATTTTTTACCTCTAATGCAACACTATGTCCAACTGTCTTTGAGCGTGCGCACGGCATCCGGTGTGTGAGGTGTGTACGCGCTCTGGCGTAGTTTACGTTAATGGGTGTGTTGATATCCAGCCGAAGAGCAATAAACCATAACTTCAGGCGAGCAGGCTCAGAAGTTGGGAATACATGGAAAGTCAC